ACTGTCCTCAAGTACTGTAAGCCTAAGTCAAATATCTTCTTTACTCTATCCAAGGTATAAGGACTTAGAACATGAGTCCCTTCATTCAAGAGATGATATTCGAAAAGAGTTGCAAAATATACTTGAAACTAATTATCTACAGGTTTCAGTTACGGAACATACAAAAAATTCACATACAAGTGCCATGGAGTTCCTATACGGTGACGAAATGATCGATATGAATGATCCAAAAACACAATTTCAAGGCTATCTGGCTGAACCTCAACTAAGATTTGATTTGGATCCTTTTGAGTGGTGGAATACAAGAACAATCAAGTATCCAATCATTTCCGAATGTGCGAAGAAATATCTCACAATACCAGCTACATCAGTCAACTCTGAAAGATGTTTTTCAACTGCCGGAAATATTGTTACACCAAAAAGGAGCTGCTTACTCCCAGAAAATGTAAACACGTTAGTTTTTTTGTATCAAAATAGACATTTAATTGATTAATATATTTATAACCTTATACAAATTATACAAATTATTGTTTATTATTATTTGTTTTGTTGTTAATGTTTTTTGTTTAATATTAATTATAATTTATAATGTTATTATGTTATCTAAGACTGGAATGTGAGACTTATATCTTCTATTAATATTGTATATTTATTATTTATTACCTACTGTTAAATTTGTTTTTTTCTATATGCTAAATTTATTAACATTTATAATACATTATCAATTATTATATATCTATAAAAACACGTGTTATATTAAATACAAGTGTAATATTAAACAGGGCTTGAAATCGATTTTCGTTACCGATTTTGAATACCGGTTTAAACCGTTAAAAACTGAAACCGAAATCGGAAAAAATTGATACCGGTATCCAAAACCGAAATCGGAAAAAATCAAAACCGGTTTCCAAAACCGAAACCGAAATCGGAAAAAATCAAAACCGTTATCCGAAACCGAAACCCCTTATTAACATAGAATCCCCCACTGTCTCCAAAAACAAATCAATTATATCAATACAGTTTTCCAACAACAATTCGGGTCCCTCAACCATAGGCTCGTTGAGTATAATGAGAAGTTCCAGGAACTATCCATTCAGGTAGGTGAAATTGAAATAGGCACACCCAACAGTTAACCCGAGTCCAGAATGAGTTTCATGAGGATTTTTTCACCCTACAAAGTCATATCGCTGATGTTCAAATAAGTAATAGTAGTTTCCATGATACCACACTCCAGGATAGCATGCAACATACTTATAGTGTTCAACAACAGATAAATGCACAAATCCAATCTCTCACTGGTCGTGTTTGTTTCATGGAAGGCCAGTCTGCTCGACTTGCTGCAGTCGAGAATAAAATTAAAAATATCTCTTTCACCTCTCCAACTCCAGCCCCACCCCCACGTACAACACAGGCTGCTTCTCAGCTTCCCCCAATATCTATTTCACACAACTCCCGTTCAAATATTCTATCATCAACAGTTTTATCTCAAGCCCCTATCTCTAATAATATGATTCCCTCACACTCTATTTCAGCCATTTATAATTCTCAGCAACCTTTCAAATAAAGGTCCATGTCACTGGCACCGCCCATTTTGAATTTCGGGTCAAAACCCAGGGCTTTCGTTTGTGCTCCGTTTGTGCTGGTTTGTGCAGCAAATCCCTTCGTTTGTGCTCAATCCCTTCCAGAGTTATTCGCGATTTACCCGGGGCGGTGCTGGAGACATGCTAATTGCAAACATTGATTATCGAATCTGGACCAAAGCCGTTTGTTTGTGCTCCGTTTGTGCTGGTTTGTGCAGCAAATCCCTTCATTTGTGCTCAATCCCTTCCAAAGTTATTCGCGATTTACCCTGGGCGGTGCTGGAGACATGCTGGCACCGCCCAATTGAAATTTTGAACTCAAACCCGGGGCTTTCGTTTGTGCTCCGTTTGTGCCGGTTTGTGCAGCAAATCCCTTCGTTTGTGCTCAATCCCTTCCAAAGTTATTCGCGATTTACCCTGGGCGGTGCTGGAGACATGCTAATTGCAAACATTGAATATCGAATCCGGACCGAAGCCGTTTGTGCCGGTTTGTGCAGCAAATCCCTTCGTTTGTGCTCAATCCCTTCCAGAGTTATTCGCGATTTACCCTGGGCGGTGCTGGAGACATGCTAATTGCAAACATTGAATATCGAATCCGGACCGAAGCCGTTTGTTTGTGCTCCGTTTGTGCCGGTTTGTGCAGCAAATCCCTTCGTTTGTGCTCAATCCCTTCCAGAGTTATTCGCGATTTACCCTGGGCGGTTCTGGAGACATGCTAATTGCAAACATTGAATATCGAATCTGGACCAAAGCCGTTTGTTTGTGCTCCGTTTGTGCTTGTTTGTGCAGCAAATCCCTTCCAGAGTTATTCGCGATTTACCCTGGGCGGTACCGGGGACATGCTAATTGCAAATATTGAATATCGAATCCTGACCAAAGCCGTTTATGCCGGTTTGAAAAGCAAATCCCTTCGTTTGTGCTCAATGTAAGGGACAGAGTTATTTGCGATTTACTTTGGACGGTTCCGGGGACATGCTAATTTAGTTAATCACAGCTTAACGTTAGCGTTAAGTTAGGTTAGACCGAGCTAATGTAAGTAACAGAAATTCAATTTTTGTATTACCAGCTCTTATTCAATCGATGGGACAAGATTTAAATAGTATTTCTCTACATAGAGAATCAATTCGAAGAACTAAGCATTAGCATAGAGAAAACATTGCATCACATATAAAAAGTAAATTTGACCCGTTAATTTATCTAGTTATTCATTGGGATGGGAAATGTTAGCAGCATTAACAAAAATGGAACATGTAAATTGTCTTGCAGTTTTAGTTTCTGGAAATACTGTTTTCAAGATTTTAGGTATTCCTCAGTTATTAAAAGGTACAAGCATAATAAGTAGTGCTTGTGTTACTAGAAGAAATAATGGGACGACATTCAATAAAAATGGCTTATCAGCATATTTTTTAAATTTTTATAAGTAAAGTATTTGAACATTTAATAGGTCCATCAAGTGCATCCGATATTGCATTATCTAAAAAAATTTTAAATTCCTTGTCTAACATAATTCAAGACGCATTTGAAAATGGTTTAATGTGTTAATGAATACAAGTTTTATAACTTGTGGACTAAAAATTATAAGAACTGATTTAGTTAAATTTGTTTTTGATCAATTGACTCAGTTTTAACTTGTGACGATTATAAAAAGTTGTTATAATTAAGTGTATTTTTTCTGAGAAAAGAACTTCCAGAAAATAACAATTTACGAAAACCAGGTGATAGTCATCGTGCTAAATGGATGGCTAAAATAATTTATTGTAGAAAATTTTTTTTTATTTCGTTCGAAATCTGAACTAAACAAAACAGTACCATTAAACTTAGAACATTTAAGTCTCTGTTCATAATGAGATTATATTTAAAAGTATGGTATGCTTCTAACGATGCTTCAGGTTCACCATTAAATGATTTAAATTTCTTAGAAAATCCATAAAAATATAAATATTCAAATAATTGTACCTATCTAAAAACTAGCGTTAAAAATATTTTCTTGTCATTTGTGGTATCTTAATAATGATACATTGATTGGATTACCATTTATTTTGACTCTTGAGTAGGTATCAAATAATATTAAAGCTAAAATGGTTACAGCTTTAGATAAAATTGGGGCTGGTTATCCCAAGCCCAACAAAGAATAAAGCTCCCAGTAGTACATCGTATTCTAGCCAGTGAATTGTACGACTTTGTAACAAAAAACTGTTTACGGCTCTTGACATTGAAATAAAAAATAAAAAATAAAACTACGCATCAAAATACTCGGATAAGTAATAATGAATATATTGGTAGTTTTTAAAAAATTAAAAACTCAAAGTTGTTAATGGTGTAGAGTGTAGCTGAAAGGGATATAGCATTGATGACATCTTTCAATGGCACTTTTACTAATCAAGATCAACAAAAATATCTTCTTCAAGTCGTTGAAAAACACAAACAAGACTTTCCGCCTTTCCGGAAGTTAAAAATTATGATTTATTTTTATAAATTTATAAAGCTTTTGTTTAATAATTATATATATAAATATGTTTTGTGAATAAGCAGAATAAAATAAAATATTATTATTTAATACCATTGATTATTTACTCGTAAATCGTTTCCCAAATGTTATAAGTAGATACTAGATAGTTGTACTTATACACGTTATTTTAATACCTATTGAAATTTCAAATATAGAAATAATGCAAAACACTCACATTCATATCGTTAAGTATTTGGTTATTCCCACATTTAATATATTTTAGATTCTGAGCGGAGCGATGAATGTATTGATTTTACAATGATGTGTGTTTTTTTTTTTTTTTTGTGTCTGTCGCCACATTTTGGAACAGTAAAAATGCTTCAATATTCTTAAATAGTATTGTTGGTACTTTGGAGGATCAAAAGTAAAATTTTTACAATAGTTTTCAAAAGCGCCGGGAAAAACAACTTAAAAATTAAGGAAAAACGGGAATTTTTACGCAAAATCGGTTTTTCGACAAAATCAAATTTGGTGTTGGATGTAAATTTAAAGTGAATGACTGTAGTTACATGAAATTTTCATTGGTCGTTTATATGAGCATTTTCTATACAAGATAAATTTTCAAAATATTTTCATTTGTTTTGAGCTGTTTGCGGACATAAGCAATTTTCGATTTTTTTTAGTTTTTGTTTCTATAAATGTCAATTAAAATTTATTTGTTGGATACAAATGCTTGAAAATGTAATACAAAGCTCCTATCATATTGTTACAATGACATTTAAAAAATATCAAAAATCCTTAGTCACAGTTTTTTTTTATAAGCATTTAAAGTTCAAATTTTGACAAAAAACGGAAAAAAACACGAAAATTAGCAAATTATTTTGAGTTGAGAATTCATAAAAATTTTTATTTTTAAATCTAAGATTTTAAAATGTAAAACAAGATTCTTTATAAGTTTTTCTACCTTTATAAATAAAAAAATCTTTACTAGAAAGTCACATTAAGTTTATATGAGCGTACATATGTTATCTACCTTATGATTTTTTCGAATCTTAAACTTATAAAAATAGTTGATCTAGACACAAACCATAAGCATAAACTAATATTATATTTTATTGCATTTTTATTAAAATTATTTATTTATTTATTTTCATATTAGGTATTTAGGTCATAATTTTAAATTGTGAACCTATTTTAAGACTATGTATTTACTCTTATATAAGTAATGTAAAATCTATTTTAAACACATCTATCTTGGTTTATATGAATTATATGATACAAAAATTTTAACAAATAAATAAATATACACCTATTGCAATATATATATTTAGGCACTGTAATAATTATAATTATAAATATGTTACATGTTAAATATGAATAGGGTTCGGATTTGAAGGCAAATGCCTTTCTTTTATTAATCATAATTGAAAAATAATTTTTATACAAAAATGTGTTTCATTTAATTTCTTAGAGGATGGATCTTTTTTTTTTTTGCCTTTTTTGCCTTTTTACTTATAAATGCCTTTTTGTCTTTTTTTACCTTTTGTACTTATAAATGCCTATTTTGTGTTTAATTTTTCAGTTGATTTTATAATTTTATACACATCTTGCGTATTATCGTTACAAATGGGTTTTATTATTCGCAATAGTAGCAATCTTAATTTAGATAATTATTTAAGTATGAAAGTGGACGTAGAAAGATCGTTTTCGATGTACAAAAATATTTTAACCCCTAACCGTAGCCGTTTTTCTGAAGACAGCTTATCAAAATACATGGTAGTCAATTTTTTTGTTAATACCAACTAGTTTATTTTGCATTAAATTAACTGGTATAACTCAAGTAAGTTAATATTTAAAATTGTTTTTAACTAATTCTTAGGACAAACCTGGTTAAAGAAAAAGGTATCTAATCTATTAATACAAAATAGCATAAACTTAATGTACTTTAGTATTCATGCTCATTTTTAATTTGTATTTTTCTCAAAATGTGTGCATTTAAAAGTGTTTAAAAAATGTTCACTATTTTATTTTGTAGTATATATTTTATGAATTGCCTTTTTATATAAATGAAATGCCTTTTTTTGCCTTTTTTTACATTTTAAATGCTTTTTTTATTGATTATATTGCCTTCAAATTCGAACCCTACCTATGAATATAATTCAAATTCTACTTTTTACGTAGGATTAACTGCTGACAAATACATTAATATTAACATACACTCATAATTTGTAAGGCCAATGGCCTTACTTACACCATGTATATGTAATTTGTTTAATGTGCACATTAGACCTCAATACACTACTACCATCGGACTCCATATGATGACGATGCAGTCATATTATATATAGAATGAAATTTACAAGTTTGGAGTATAATTATTTGTAAGTGCAGTATACAATAAAAACAATATTAATAACTGATATTGAATCCTAGTTATTTAAATACATTTAAGATTCTGATATCTATACATCTACCTCTGACTACGGTAGTTATATCTATTGAGTCCTACAACTCTCCCTAGATATTTTATATTTAACTGGTCGTTCTTCCGACCACGTTACAGCACGTTAAACTATAAGTGTAATAAGTATAATTGTACGGCGGGTTTAGGCGAAAAAAGACTTTCCCGTTTTCCAACAAATTATAAAATGAAGATAAGTACATCAGTACCAACAAAAAAGTGATTATTAACATGTATACGTAAGACGAGAATATTTTATTGTACAATGACAATAGCAACATTTAAATACCCAATGTAGGTATACTAAAATATGGTAATATCACCAAACTACGTATTATAAAAATGAACAATATACCATACAAATAATTAATAACAGCTGGTGGATGGTGCATTTGATAGTTGAATACACTTCGTATTCTGTCTGCGCTTATGTTATTTTGAATTTATTGATGTAAACAAAAAGTTAAACATTTAAACTTATTACTTGTGGTATAAAAGTTTATGTGCAAAGTGACATAAAATTAGCAATAATTTAAATAAAACTGATATCTATAAATTACCTACTTAATATCTAAAAGGGCACTTCTATTTACACTACTCCTAGACCACTCGGGTAAATCACAAAAAACGGAGCACAAACAAACGGCTTTGGTCCGGATCCGATATTCAATGTTTGCAATTAGCATTCCCCGGCACCGCCCAAGGTAAATCGCGAATAACTCTGGAAGGGATTGAGCACAAACGAAGGGATTTGCTGCACAAACCGGCACAAACGGAGCACAAACAAACGGCTTTGGTCCGGATCCGATATTCAATGTTTGCAATTAGCATGTCTCCAGCACCGCCCCGGGTAAATCGCGAAGAACTCTGGAAGGGATTGAGCACAAACGAAGGGATTTGCTGCACAAACCGGCACAAACGGAGCACAAACAAACGGCTTTGGTCCGGATCCGATATTCAATGTTTGCAATTAGCATGTCCCCGGCACCGCCCAGGGTAAATTGCGAATAACTTTGGAAGGGATTGAGCACAAACGAAGGGATTTGCTGCACAAACCGGCACAAACGGAGCACAAACAAACGGCTTCGGTCCGGATTCGATATTCAATGTTTGCAATTAGCATGTCTCCAGCACCGCCCAGGGTAAATCGCGAATAACTCTGGAAGGGATTGAGCACAAACGAAGGGATTTTCTGCACAAACCGGCACAAACGAAAGCCCCGGGTTTGAGTTCAAAATTTCAATTGGGCGGTGCCAGCATGTCTCCAGCACCGCCCAGGGTAAATCGCGAATAACTTTGGAAGGGATTGAGCACAAACGAAGGGATTTGCTGCACAAACCAGCACAAACGGAGCACAAACGAAAGCCCCGGGTTTTGACCCGAAATTCAAAATGGGCGGTGCCAGTGACATGGACCTTTCAAATAATGTCTCTCAACTCTCTAGTATCACTATGGATCCCAACCGGATACCGAAATATAACGGGCAGCTCACTCCGGTACCCCCTGCAGACTTTTTGGACAAATTTGATCACTACTTCTTAATACATAACGCCCCTGATCAGGTTAAGATTAATTTTGTCAGTGATAACTTCACCGGGAAAGCGTTATTGTGGTATACTACCCTGTTACCTCCCCCTCTAATATATACTGAGTTTGTTACATTGTTCCGTGACTATTTCTGGTCTCCCAGCCTTCAACGGCAGATTCGAAATGAGTTGTATCGTTACTACCATCATGAAGATCCCTCCACTCTGTCCGAACACGCCAAGGACTGGATAAACCGTGCCCGACATTTGCAGCCCCCGATAGAACAAGTGGAAATGGTTGACCAAATTAGATCCCACTTTTCCTACCATCTCTCTCTTGCGCTCCGAGGTCTCAGGATTCTCACAACGAACGTCTTAGTCAAAGAACTGACATATCTTCAACGTTCAAACGGCCCCTCAACTACTTCGAATACTCACAATCATAACAATTCAGATTCTCATTCTCAACAACCGAATTCATACAACAACTCTTCATGCCCTTCTCGTCAAAATAATAACCCTCCTCGTCCAAATAATTACCCTTCTCGTCAAAACAATTACCATAGGCCCCAATATCATCAACCTCCGAATCAAGCTCCCTCTCAACAACCCGACCAGGTAACACCGCCTACGGAAAACTAGTTCCGAAACTAACCCGTGAGGATGTGTCCTGTGTCCCCCACTCAAAATTCTCAAATATCCATACTTACTCATCCATTAGATCTCAATCAGGAAATTGTACTCCCCCCCCAAAATTATCGTCCCGAAATTACAATTAGCCTCTTTAATAACGAACAAACAGCTCTTCTGGATTCCGGTGCATCTGTATCGGTAATCTCAGAAGACCTATTCCAAATTTTAAATATCAATCCCAACCAACACAAGATACCCCTGTTTCCCCTCACAAATATACTACTCACTACAGCACTCAGTAACAAAACCGTTAAAATTAAAACTCAAATATTTCTCACTTTCTCAATAAAAATTATGAAACCCATGGCATCTTTCTCATAGTCCCAAAACTTTCAACTCCTCTTATCCTAGGAACTGACTGGTTGTTAGAGAATGGTGTGCCCTTAGATTATAACAAAAAATAAATCTCTATTATCACTGTCAAGGACAAAATACCTTTTGGTTTAATCGAAGATCATGATCCCAACAGTTTTGTTAATGCGTTTAAAACTATCAATATCTCTGAGGATTCTCCGTATACAGAGTGATTTTTTTATCGTGAACCAGTTAATATCTCGGGAAGTATTAGTAATTTTAAAATAATTTTTTTTTTAAACTTTCTAGGTTTTACTATTTTACACTGTGTTACAATTTTGAATATTTTAACTTCCTCCCTTATTTGATAAAACACTATCAAATTTCGATTTTCAAATGGCAATACCTATTTTCGATAACGAAAATCTATAAACATACTGAAAAAAAAAAATTTTAACGTTTACAGAATTTAATTTGAGTAAGCCGTTTACGACTTATTAATGCTGAAATATTCGTTAAATTTACTGCTACTGGGCAATTTAACAACCCAACTGTAAAAACCAGAAGTCAAAACGAAATTTTATCTCAATTTAACAATACCCATAACGGTAATAATCAATAATAACAAGATAGATAAACAATACTATAAGAAAAAAAAAAGTGTTCCATCAGAATACCGAGTGTCAGTGAACGACTACCGCCAGCCGCGGCCTGCAGCAGCTAGGCTTTATTATAGCTGCTATAAAGTATAAAAACAACATTTTAAATTTATCATAATGGTTACATAATATAGCACTGGTTACTGATCCCTGGTATACGGTCTTATCACGTATTAGTAGATAAACGATAATAAATGCCGGTAAACTGTTTCTGAAAACATGTGGTTATTGAGTTTCCCATTATTAAATATTAAATATTAATTTTTAATTAATTATTTTTCTTTGAACGTTAAACCAAAGAATACGCTTTAAGTGAATTCTTAATTATGTGTATTATTTAAAATATAAATTTAAAGTTTAGGTTAGCCAATTATTCCAATGCATACCTATTATATTTTTTGATAGTGTTTTAATGTTGTATTTTGGTTAACAAATTTGTATTTAATTAAAAATATTATACTTCTATCCAATCAGAAATATTATTATGTATATGGGAATCAGATTTCATTCTTAGCCGACAACTTTATTTGTATAATTTATTGGTAAGTTCAATCTAAAATTAATATATTAGAATTTTATTTTTTTATTAAATGGTTTATACATACATATTATTGACATATAATAACCAGGGTTAAATTATTTTAATTTTATTAAAGTGGAAATTAGTAGAGTTTACATAATTCATCAAAAAATGCAGTGAACTATATGACTAGACAACTAGATTTGCTCAGAAATTAATGCAAATTCATATTGCTTTCTACTGGTACCTATCTGATGACTATAAATTAATATGGAATAAAGGAATACAATATACATACATATTTCTATATTATATTAAAATCTTTCAACAAACTAAACAATCAATTATGTAAGTATGAATTGTTTTTTAATAAATAATAACCAGGGTTAAAATATTTTAATTTTATTTCAGTGGTAATTAGTAGAGTTTATATAATTAATCAAAAAATACAGTGAACTAGACAGGTCAATTTGACCAGCAATTAATGCAAATTTACATTGCTTGCTACTGGTACCTATCTGATGACTATAAATTAATATGGAACAAAAGAATAAAATATCCATATTTTTTTTACATATTATACTTATTTTAATCTTTATACAAACTAAACAATTTATTATGTAAGTATGAATTTTTATATAAAATAAATAATTTGATGTTTATCATAATTTTTGCTTATTTTTTAGATAATTAATTTTGTTTTCTTTCAAATTTCAATTGCAATTAGTAGTACTAACTTTTAATTCAAATATCTATAAAAAGATTGGATGAACAAATACAAAATGTTATTTTGGTTAGTCACAGCATAGTACAACTCCCCTGATAACTTAATAAGTATGAATAAATAATTATTTTTTTCTATAGGATAAATCATTTCTATAAATAATTTAATGTTTTTTTTTAGTTGCATTCAGATAAAAAAAAAAAAACAGTGCAGAATCAAAACCAACAACTACTTCTACATTTATAAAATTTATTGATGGTCACATTAACAGTTAATTGTATGTTTATTAGGTTAAGTTATTGATTTACTAATTTCCATAATTAGGGCTATGGAGTTTTTATTAAACTGAATTGGCAAATTGGAATTTTTTTTTTATATGATACCTAGTGTCTTTTTTATGCAATATTAAAAGATTTTTATATCATAAAATTGTAATTAAAAAATAACATAATTTCAAAAATAAGTGTAAAAGTGAATAATTTTTTAAGACATCCATAGCCCTAAAAATATACTGTAATCTAGAGTAGATAATATAAAGTATGTTCAATGTTCATTTAATTTTTATTAATTTATCTAGGGTAGTGGACATGTTAAGTGTTAATATTTTTTATTAGTTATGACCTTACCCAAATCCTGCAAAAATTTGCACTACGGAAATTTGTTTATACTCTAGTAAAATTATTGATAACTAATGTGTTTATTGCCATTGATAATTTAGTATTGAATTAATGTCCATTATTTGGTCTATTCACACACTAGATAGTTTGATATAAAATGCAAATTATACATTATACAAAAATCACAGAATACCTAATATTTATAAATGGAGAGTTAAGTCAGGTAGGCACTATGAACAACGGGTTCTCGGCCTATAGCCCGCATCAGATTGACAATACAGGACTCACTTCCTTGATGCACAAAACATTGTAATATCATTTTAATGTAGGTTATTTGTTGTGTCACTTTATTTGTAATCAAAATAACTTACATATTCTATTTTTTTTTTTTTTTTAATATGCTTAGATTGATTTGTAATTATTTATTTTTAATGAAATGAAAACCTTAAATGATAGGGGCGTTGTAAAAATGTATAACTAAAAAAAAAAGGAATGTGTGAATAGACCTTTAACTACTTTAGTCTGGCTCTAAATTCTGAATCCAAGTACATAAATTATACATTTGTATCTGTGTATTTATGAATTATTTTTCTAAATACATGGAAATTGTTGATTTACTTTGTTTTAAAATGAATAAATGTTATCTGTTTAATATAATCATTTACTATAGTAAATTAAGATACACCATATTATTGTTTTAAAAAAATATTTATTTTGTAATTTACTAGTTATAACACATTAATCTGATATAAAAATATAAATTATATTAAATAAATACTTCTGTATTATGTATAATTAACAAATAATAAACTGAAATAAATTATACTACATATTATCATAATATCATCTATTTATTCCATATTTGATAATGAAAAACTAACATTAACGATTAACCAATAACCACAATATGTTTTCAGAAACAGTTTACCGGCATTTATTATCGTTTATACGTGATAAGACCGTATACAAGGGATCATTAACTAGCAGAGGCGTGCTGAATAGTAATTTTTTTAGGAAATTGCTTCAGGGAAAATTTGGGTAGGTGGGTGGGTGTGTTAGTATAGATGTGCAGCTTATACCTAAAAAACTTAATAATATTTATTATTTTGAATAATAAAAAAAAAAATAGTGAAAAAACTGTTGGTGGTGGGGAGGGGGATCAAATTGTTTGCCTCAGGTCTGCTTGTCAGTTCGGCACGCCACTGGTGACCAGTACTATATTATGTAACCAATAACCATGATGGTAAATGACAAAATAGATAGGTATGTCAGCAACTTTTTGTCAGCATCGGGTTCGTCGACCACTCCACACCCCTTTGATAAGCTGGTTCGCCAAATGAAATGAGACAAACTACGACTATGGCTGAGAAGGGTGGGATGCGCTAACCGGACTGCGTCTCGTATTGTTGCTGACATAGGTACCTATCTATTTATTTTGTCATGTTAATCCATAGATAATAAAGATATTATCAATGTGTTATTCAGTATTCACCACGATTTAAGGTATATCTTAAATCGTGGTATTCACTATTTCACTGGACAATCGGATGTGTTCGGCTGGGAGGGGTGATAAGATATTAAGGTCCAATTCGTGTGACCTTTGTACTATTGTACTTATTAGTTATTATCGTTTATAACCGATTATTATCGATTATTATGGGTATTGTTAAATTGAGATAAAATTTCGTTTTGACTTCTGGTTTTTACAGTTGGGTTGTTAAATTGCCCAGTAGCAGTAAATTTAACGAATATTTCAGCATTAATAAGTCGTAAACGGCTTACTCAAATTAAATTCTGTAAACGTTAAAATTTTTTTTTCAGTATGTTTATAGATTTTCGTTATCGAAAATAGGTATTGCCATTTGAAAATCGAAAGTTGATAGTGTTTTATCAAATAAGGGAGGAAGTTAAAATATTCAAAATTGTAACACAGTGTAAAATAGTAAAACCTAGAAAGTTTAAAAAAAAAAATATTTTAAAATTACTTATACTTCCCGAGATATTAACTGGTTCACGATAAAAAAAATCACCCTGTATGCACGAACACTCTTCAAATAGCGTTTATGAATCTCTCCCCTTCGTGACAGAAATTAATATAGCTCTCAATGATATTTCACTCACTACTCATCAACAAA